ATATACGACGGTAGAGAAGTCTATGTTGCCTTCGCACCTCACTCTAACTTTGGTACTCAGGCAATAGTACTAGACTTCTATACCTTGGTATACGGAGTGAATATTTCAAAGCCGAACAGAGGCATTTAACATGGGAAAAACGTTTTTGGCAGATCGTTACTCTCCATCTTAAGTTAGAGGGTTCATAATGACACCAATTGAAAGAAGAATTTTTTCATCTAATGATATACGATTTACTTAGTTCAATTTTGAGGTGTATTGTTCTTATTTTGTCAAAAATTCGCCAATAAATCCAATTAGCAAAATCATGTTAAGCCATGGAAATTTGCTAAAGAGTTGAAATAGGCTTTGACCTATCATATATACATAGATATGGCCTCCCATTTGTTTTCAATAAGTAGCAGCTGTGCAAACTCCTTTCACACTACCAGGTTTGACCGGTCAGGTTTCTGATCTGATGAGCAGTAGTGCGTTGTTGTGAATAGGACCCTTCACACTGTCGGGTTCCAACCAGGCGCCTGATTGCCGGCGGACAAGTCGACTAGGTGATCAGGTCTTTGACGCCGGATCAGGGTTAGGCGGACAGGTTTTCAGTCGTGTTGTCAATTTTTTTGGAGGAGGTTGCATTAATACGGTCGTTTTGGATAATTTCGAGCGAAAATAATGACGTTGAATGAACGGCTAAATCCACTTAGAAAACATGAACGGATGAAAAACCTGACACAACTCAAGAGAACTTTATTCCTTCAGGTTCGGAACCTGATCGGCCAAACCGGATAATGTGAAAAGAGTCTAACAAAGACAGAGATATATTTTGCATTGTAGTAGAACACCGCACATGCGCAGTAGCATCTGAATGTAAACAGCTTGTTGCGTCCCCAAATTAGAATAAAATATCCTTTCGTTTTTCCTTTAATGAAAATACTCTGTACATAACCGTTTTGCCTTGCCTGTATATATTCCTATTTGTTACGTGTGCGCGCATGAGCCGCAGAAGCGCAATTTGTGTACTCGTCGCGCAGAATTCGTCCCATTCTTCGCCGAGAAGCCATCGACTCAACAACGTTGAGAATTCGCCGTTCATCAATGTTCGAATTAGCCTTCGTCGTTCGTATATAGATCTCGATCGATCCACAACAAGTCAAGATGTCGTTAACAAGCAGAACGGCAAAGCATCGCACATCACGAAGATTTCGTTGTAACAAAATCGACAAATTGGACAAAATCGTAGACAAGAGCAATCTTCGCCATTGCAGCATCGCCTTCGTTGTTAATGGACTTCGAAACAACACGTAAGTTCCTTTGTTTACATTATCCTTCGTAACTTTACCATATTCTAGTAGCCGTCGTGCCTACGTCAACCATGTTCAATAGAAATTCTTTTACTTTGTACTTTTTATAATAAACACGTTTATTTATGTGTCTATATTCTTTCATTCCCAGCATAAACAAGGCCTTGGAAGTAATTCATAATTACAGTCCACTTACAATATTAAATTCTTTGTTATCGAAGCCCCCTTGTGCGGTACACAGCTACCGTAGGTGGGTAGGCGTCGCAAAAATGGGTCACTTTATATTAAGTTACGAAGCACATATTTTGTAACTTACGCATAGAATGAAATTGCACTTTCTGTACTTATTACGTTCACAAAAAATTAAACGCGCAATTTTAATTATTATTTTCGTAAAAACTACTCGAATTTTCTACTGTAATAACACCGTAAACCCCTTTATTTGTTACTAAGTTGTAAACGTTGATTAACAAGACAAAACGCAAACGGGTAAACGTCATCTTTAAACGCTACTGACTTGTAAAACTGACAGCTGACGTGTAAAAATTTTACACGTTAGTAATCTAGTAATTTCATTGGCCAGAATTAATGCGAAGTCTCTGTTACATGGATAATATGATATTTTAGACATTTCTTCGAGATTAATTTAAGAACTAATTATTTACGTTTACAAATGAGTAACAAATAAAATATTGTACATTATACGCCAGGTAATAGTTTTTACTGGCTCTAGGAGATGACAGGCTCGCCTGACGGCTCGCCAGTCAACTTCTCCTATCGCCAGTAAAAACTCAATTACCTGGCTAATAATGTAAAATACTATTAAGTTCTACGGAAATAACACGCCAATGAAATGTCGGGAGTGTCAATTTAACAGACAAGTCAGTGCGCATGCTCGGTATTGTACTGTATAGCTATCTCTCACACATGTTGACACATATAATACTATAATGGACATACTATCATCTAAGGTTTTGACACAGACTGAATGGGACGCTCATTAAAATGCAGGGAAAACAAATATCGATTACTAGAGTAACTATTTCCGCTGTAAACGTTGTTTATTATCCTCAGTGAACTGCATTTTACAAAAAAATTAATTCCAGTTGTCATAAACTGATTGATTTCGACTTGAATAACATTTGAATCTGCTTTTTCTTTTCTACTAATGGCTAAACATGATTTTGGATAATTTTGGATTTATTGCCGAATTGTTGATAAAATAATGAGAAATACACCTGAAAATGAACTAATTCGTATATCATTAGATGAGAAAAAAATCTTGTTTCGATTGGTGTCATTATAAAGCCTATAAGATAACATAGGGAGCAACGATCTACAAAAAGACCTGTTTCCCATGTTAATTCCTTATGTTTGGTTTTTTGCGGTTATTTTACATTGGAACATACGATTTTGCATGCAATGGTGTTTCCCTGGTGTTTCCCTATGTTCCATTTAGAAAAAAACCACCAACCTATAGGATATGTGCGGTTCACAACTATACACACGTATTGGATAATGTGCGAGTCACAACTGAACCAGCCTTTAACTATTTTTAGGTTATGTAGGTACATACGTTGAAATGGAAGGTATAGAGTACGTGCACGTGACGTCACGAAATCAACAGCTGATTAGCGTGTAGGACAAACATCGTATTTGTTTACATATGGTTTACGCAGGTTTCATATTTTTTGAGTGTAAATAACTAATTTCTTAATAACAATAAAGTGACTTTTAATGTAATAAAAATGTGTGATAAAAGTGATTACTGTAATACTTTACAAGCAGATGTTAAATCGCGATATATGGACAAAATTAAATTAGTAAATAACATAGATCCATATATAATTAGTATTAGTTCCTGTTCAAAAAATTGTGAAGATTTTCCAAGTGTAACATATTTTGACATTGTCAATTATCTAGTTTTTAATAAAAGTGCATACACTCAAGAGGAGTTTAAAGCCTATAAAAGCCTTGAAGCCTACAATTTATACAACTGCAAGTGGGTTAGAACCTTGTGTGCAAAGAAAATTTCGAACTCTGATAATATTTTAGTACTTGCTGAGGTACGTAGAATTTGTTGAGATGATTTTTTAGTAAATGATTGTATTTATTTTTTATGCAGGTCATGCATTCCCAACGATTGAATTTGCCTCCAGTTAGTCTGTGGTGCGTTATTAAAGAAAGTGGAGAAATACTCGCAGCATCGCTCGCAGCACATTGTAACTGCCCTGCAGGTTTAGGGGAATGCTGTTCACACATAGGTGCTGTATTATTTGCAATAGAAGCTGCAGTACGAGAAAAAGAAGAAATCTCTGTAACAGGTCAGAAATCGTACTGGATAGTCCCAAATGTAAATTTGGGCGAGCCATCCACTATAGATGAAGTGGACTATTCCTTAAACAAACATAAAGAGGATGAAAGATCAGGCACAGATAGTGATTTGGACGAAATCACTGAAGTAGAAAAGTCTACGTTTTTAAATAAATTAAGTCAATTAAAAGATACTCCCGTTTTACTAAAGGTTACGCCACCATACTGTTTTACAATACAAGAAAATCTTCAAAAACGTATTTCTCAACGTGGAGTATTAAACAATTTATATAAAGAGTCACACGAATCGAAGTCTTTACAGGAATTAATAGAAATGGGAAAATCCGTTGATTTCAGTCTTTCTCCTGACGAGTGTCAAGAAATAGCAAATAAGACATTGGGCCAAGCTGCAAATAAAAACTGGTTCTGTTTTCGAAAAGGGCGCATAACTGCATCTCTTTTTAAATCCTGTTGCAGAACACAAATCTCTAAACCTGCAAGAAGCACAATTCGATCGATCTGCTACAAGCAAAAATTTTTTTCAAAGCAAACTATGTATGGGTGCTCACATGAAAAGGATGCTATAGAAGCTTACAAAATTTTTATGGTTCCTAAACACGAGAATTTTGTTATTAATTCATCAGGGCTGTTAATAAATTCAAAATTTCCATGTTTTGATGCAAGCCCAGATGGTCTTATAAGTTGTGATTGTTGTGGACTAGGATGCTTAGAAGTGAAGTGCCCATACTGTGTACGAGATGACAACGTGGAAGAATTAGTAAATTTTAAAAACATGTGCCTGAAAGCCAGTGTACTGGAGGACAACATGTGGAGTATTGATCTTGACCGTAACCACGCTTATTTTTACCAAACGCAAATGCAAATGGCAGTTTCTGAAAGATCATATTGTGATTTGGTTGTCTGGACAAAGAACAATTTTTATTTGGAAAGAGTGTACAGTGATAAAACCTTCTGGGACTGTGAAAGTGAAAAGGCATTATCGTTTTTTAATCATGTAATAATGCCGGAATTACTGGGTAAATATTTCACAAGATCATCACCTCTAAAACCGGTTTCTTCAAATGTGCAGGATATGATACCTTCCATCGAAAAATTTAATGAAAAAAGTGATAGTGGTGATATGATTCGATGTGCCAATCAATACTGCAGTGTACAGTGGTACAATTTGAAGAGTTTAAAAAAGAAAAGTTTAATCAGTCCATGGTATTGTAAACAATGCGAGACACTTAAGTTTCGCAAATAAGTACATGTTTTGTATTCATTCCTCGGAGAATGGTGTGACATTTGTCAAGGAACTATACTGCAAACTAATAATTCTATATTTTTATTTGTTACAAAGTACCTAAATCTTACACCTTAATAATATTTACAAGTTGTTTATTTGCGAGTTTATTTGTTACAATCTACTGCGGAACAACGCTAGGGCAACAATTTATAAGAGCACAACATACTGTAAGAATTTTATCTATTGTTTGTACATTATTATGTTTTGCGCGCAGCATAAATATTGGTAATTTACCTGATGTAATAGTGTATTTTTGGCGTAATAACCCAATTACCCTTTCCACATGTATCCGCACATTGGCAAGTTTACGTGTCTCCTCTACTTCTTTGGGGTGCAACTGCTTTTTTCCCTTTAAGAATGCTGGCATTTGCACTTCTGCCATGTAAAAGTTGACACTGTCTTTAATTAAAAATCCCCTGTCGGCCAATATAAGATCACCAGGAAGCAAATTGTTTAAAAATCCAGAATTTTCTGTAACAAATTTATCACTGCTTCGACCAGTGAACCCTTTTGAAATAAAAATAACACTACCCTGTGGAGAAATGCCAATAAAATACTTAATAGTATGATGGTGCTTATAATGTGAAAAATGTTGGGATGATGCTTGTTTATTTTTTGGTTGTTCGGTAAAAATCTCGAAGCAGTCTATTATAACGGTAACCTTATTTCCAAATTTTTCTTTAAAACATGTGGGCATTGTTGAATGTAAACATTCTCGTTCCGGCCATTTCACAAATGATTTTAATTTAATGTAGAATACATGTAGAACGTTTTTAAAAATTCTTCCACAAGTGGAACGAGATATATTAAAACGATATCCTAAATCTGTAAACAATAAGTTTAATCTTAATTTCATTGAAGTTAGTACAAGTTGCTCAAATTTGGATAGAGTCGTGTTAGGGTTTATTATTATGTAGGGTTCTACGAGTTCAAAAACAATTTGTAACGTGTCAAATGATAGCCCTGTATAAAATTTACATTTTACTTCATTCTTCATGTCGCTTGTTGTAAATTTAAATGTAGATAATTCACTTCGAAGTTTATATATTTCCTCATTTGCTTTTAGCAGTCCATACTTCAAATCATCGTCTCTTACTTCCGTTTCGACTTCCATCTCTACATTGCCAGTTGGTGGGTTATCGACAACCGCTTCTTGCGAAAGAGTCGTAGATGAATCAGGCATTTCAACATCATGGGATGGTTCCTTAAAAAAATGTGTTACAATATGTAATGCGTAACATTCTTGCTTACCAGACTATCAGCTACTTCTTTTATACGTCTCTTTCGTCTATTGTACCGCTCGACAGTAACCTTTTTTCCACCGTAACCCATATTTTGTGAGGGAACCCAATCAGGATGACACTCCTCCTCTAATGTTGCAGGTTTCCCTAAAAATACAGTACATTAGCACATACTTTCAATGTGAAGGTAAATAAAAGTTGTGAAAACAAATGATTAGGTACTTACGAAACTAACCTTCCAAAAAATGTCTCGAACAAATCATTTGATATTTTAATTTGCTCTCTGTTAGATCGGTCCCTCTTGTGGCTAAGACCCACGCTTGACGTCTACGTTCTCTTCTGGGATCAATCCTTTTGCGATTATCATAAATCGAAGGAAAACGAAAAAAAGACACCTTATCCCTATTGCTTCTACTTCCACACTGAACAACAGCACAAAAGTTGGGCATTGTTTTTGAGTGTATAGAAATTATTTTAACTACTTATATTAAACTGCACTATACTTTTAATAAACCATATTACATTTATGACCATATAAACCTTAGATCATATAATAAACAATAGCAATGTTTGTCCTACAGGCTCACAAACAGCTGATTTATGGTCACGTGCTGCACGCGCTCTATTGAACCATCAGGATACTGGACTGCAAGTAAATCGCGGACCTGTCTTGCACTGTTGTGACCTCTGTATAAATTTATAATTTCATCTTTTCATCTCAGTGAACATAATTTAATTTGCTATTATCAGAACGTTAGAGGTCTTCGCTCAAAAACCCAAACCTTATTTTCTAATGTGTGTGATTTGGAATTTGATATAATAGGCTTGACTGAAACAGCCCTACATGCGGGTATCAATGATTCAGAAATTACGCCACATTCGTATAAAGTTTATCGTTGCGATAGAAATCCTAATCGAACTGGCCAATTCTGGGGTGGTGGTGTGTTAGCTGCTGTTAAAGACTGCATCAATACAGAAGAGCTTGACCTAACAACGGTAACGTCTATTGTTCCATCCGTGGAGCTTGTTGGATGCAAATGTCACTTTGATGTAATGACACTGTGTTTACTTGTGATTTATATACCGCCCAGTATACCTTCGGCTATTTTTCAGCTTTTTTTTGAAGCATTGGAAGACCTCCTACTACAAGGTAACTTCTCAAAATTCTTAATTTTAGGTGATTTTAACGCACCGCTCTTTATCAATCTGAATGTAAATGATAACAAATCAAGTGCTATTATAAATTTCCAAGATTTGTTCAATTTGACCCAATGCAACACGATATCGAACCATATGAATCGTCTATTAGATTTAGTTGTCTGTAATATTAAATGTGATGTTCTTTATGAAGATAACCCTCTTGTTAACGTTGATATTTACCATCCACCGCCTAAATATCACCTTGAAATATGAATCCAAGTCTGAACCACGTTTTATGCATAACCCAGATCGGAAGATCTATAATTTTAAAAAGGCTGATTACATTAATTTGTACAGAACTCTTTTGGATGTGGACTGGTCAATTTTGCGATCTTTTTGCGATGTGAATGAAGCGTGTGATGAATTTTACAACGCAATATACAATTTATTTGATTACTACGTCCCACTCCATCGTTCATTTAAGTGTACCTATCCTAAGTGGTTCAATACCAGCATAATAAACAACTTACAACTTAAGCATAAATATCATAAGTTATATAAAAAATATAAATTAGACGCTTATCAAGAAAACTACAATATAATACGACGGCAAATTAAGCATCAAATTAGGTTAGCGTACAGTCAGTACGTCAACGACATTGAACTAGCGATAACAATGGACTGCAAACACTTTTGGGCTTATATTAATTCAAAAAAGCGTACATCTCGAATTCCCGGTCACATGTACTACAATAACTCCAAGTTTACTTCTCCACAAGCTATCGTTGAAACATTTCGCGACTTTTTTTGTAGCGTTTTTCTACCGAATGACGCTTCTCCAGCTTCTGAAGGACTGGATCGTCTATTGACGTTGTCCATCCACAATGCTACCGAAAATGAAATCAAAGCATGTTTTACCAGACTCAAAAGTAAAAATACAGCTGGCTCTGACCAAATTCCTGCTTTCTTATTAAAGGATTGTGCTAATGTTTTCATAGATCCTATGACAACGCTAATTAACATCTCCCTTAAAACTCATAAATTTCCGGATGTGTGGAAATGTGCCCGTGTATGTCCAGTTTTTAAATCGGGGGATAACAGTATTATTTCGAACTATAGGCCTATTTCTGTGCTCTGTAACTTCGCCAAAATTTATGAACTGTTTCTTTACTCTAAAATATATCCTCGAGTTCAACGATTTATATCGACCTGCCAACATGGGTTCATGGAAAACCGATCTACTGTGTCCAATTTGGCGTACATCACTCAATACCTAGCAAACCATTTAGATGCCCAGGGCCAGGTAGATGTTTTGTACATGGACATATCGAAGGCATTTGATCGCATTAGTCATAGCATACTACTTAATAAATTGCATAAATTTGGATTCGATAATAGTCTAGTTTCTCTTATGGCCTCGTATCTTAATCAACGCCCTCAATACGTCGCTTACAACAACTTCTATTCTAGGATATATTTCGCAACTTCAGGTGTACCGCAAGGTTCTAACCTTGGACATTTACTGTTTCTCTTGTTTATGATATAACAAGCAATATAACATGCGAAAAACTTTTATTTGCGGATGATCTCAAAATGTTTTATCCCATTTCATGTTTGAGTGATTGCAATTTCCTACAAGATCAATTAAATAAAGTCCAGGAATGGTGTACAAGTAACCGTCTGTTACTAAATATTTCCAAATGTAACATTGTTACATACACTCGTAAATGTACCTACCATCTCTTTAACTATAAATTAAATAACGAGCCGCTATCACGCATAGATCTGATTAAAGACCTTGGGATTTATTTTGATTCCAAGTTGTCATTTAATTCTCATATTAGTAAAATAACTAGTGACGCAATGAGATTGGTTGGATTTGTATTTAGGAATTGCAAGAGTTTCACTGATGTCAATACCATTAGAGCATTATACTTTGCCTTAATAAGAAGTAAACTTGAATATGCTTCTCTAATATGGTGCCCCTTTTACAAAGTGCACAAACTGGCTCTAGAGTCTGTGCAAAGAAAAATCTGCAAATATATTTATTATAAACTTCGCATGGCTCATACCCTACAGCGCATTGTGATCACAACGAGTTACTATATTAGCCACTGATATTACTTCACTAGAGCAAAGAAGAATTAAAATGGGAATGTCGTTTCTCTATAACTTAGTACATGATACAATCGACTCCCCTGAGCTGCTTCAGTACCTCAATTTTTTCGTCCCCCGTTATGGTTATCGGGGTAATGACACCTTCTATCTACCTTTTTCGAAGTCAAACTTACCCGCTCTATAATGTATGTAACAACTGTAATATGTATTCGAATAGGTATGACATCTTACATTTGTCAAAAAATCAGTTTTTGAATTGTTTATTCATGTAACTTATTATGTATTACCATAGAGTTAGTATTACTTTGAATTACTTTTCATGCGCGTTATTTCTTTTTGTTTGTTTGTTTGTTTGTTACTTTCATTGTTACTGTTCTACTTTCTCGAATTATTATAAGTTTAACTTTTTCCATTTGTCCTCTAATTGGATCTTTTATGTATCTGTTGGGCAAATATATATTATTATTATTATTATTATTATTAATCAATTCATGCAAAAAGTAAAATTCTTCTTTGGTCATTCTGAAATACATTTGCAGGCGGCTTGGATGTCCATTCAATAATTCGTGGACTAATTGTCGAAATTCGATGATTTATGTGGTGAATCCAAACACTGCGCTGTATTCCATTAGCCACTGTAAAAGCAGCCACGTTTTCTATATCCTCTTCCCCGTCTGAAGAACTTGACGAATAAGAATCTCTACTTCGCTTCATCGCTACTAATGACTAAATGCAAATCTTAAATTGCAACGACAGCTACCGCGCGTCGACACCGTGAGCGCACACAAGTGTGTCTCCTAGCGTGACATCGCACGCAAGGTATGCTTTAGGTGATAGCAAGTGAGCTCACGTGACGTCACAGTAATGTGTTTCCGCCTTTACTCTATGATGGTATGTCTTAGACCATATAGTACATAGACTACTAATTGTAAGGCTCTCTAAATGAGCTCTACTAATTGTAACTAAAATATGGTCAAGGACATCGCCTGGGTATGCGAGTTTCAGGGTAAACGAGTCTCTCCGAAGTTGTCCGATTAGACACGATTTGAGACTGTCAACCTATAAATTAACAAACGTCAATTAATTAATCGCTTAGATATGCCAAAAAAGCAAACCTATTCTTATTTGCGGACTTATAGAAGATAATCAAGAGTATTTAAAGCTTCCCGTACTACGTGGTTACTATAAAAGCTACTCTTTACGCGATCCGAGTGGTGTTTACACGACTAGATTTTACCTGAGATTCACATACCCACGACTACGGTGCCCTCTCTCCGTGGCCACCCATTTTGTATTGAAAGCATAGGGCTAATAGCAGTCCATGTACTATATGGTCTAAGTGGTATGTAGTCTTCGCAGGGCCGGTTTTAGGCGTAAGCGGTGTAACCCCCCGTTTACGTCGCAAACAGGAAAGGGCGAAAAAATTACTCAGGTTTAATGACTGACGGACCGATGACGTAAAAATCCGTACACGGAAGGCATGTTTGTAGGTAAGTAGCAAACGCGTTATCCCTTCGGAAAACTCTGTAGCATTTTTGTACAACTTTGCTTTTCAAAAAATGCGAGAACACCGTTTTAAAGCTACAAATCTGAATTGGAATTAGCGGGACATTGACTGATAGCGTTGTTCACTCAACGCTGATAGGCGGTACGAAGTTTGTGAGCTGCTAGTAAGAAATGTTTTAAATATGGAACCTTTATACAGGCTGTTAATTAATGTCATGCGTATATTTCAGGGGGCGATAGTACTTATCAAAATAAGAAAAAATAGTATATTATATACCGCGGGACTGAAGTAGTACTTTTAATCCCGAAGGTAAAGTTTATGGCCCGACCGCAGGGAAAGGCCATAATTTACCTGAGGGATTAAGACCACTACTTCAGTCGCAAGGTATATACGATATTTCTCGTACTTCCGAAACTGAAACACTTAATATGTATGGAGTTAGAGAACGCGTTCTTTCAAAAAATCGCTGCTTAAAGTTACCATAGGAACGTTGCGCTTGCAAATTTTTTGTTACCATAGCATAGGGTTTGTCGTACCAACGCTATGCTATGGTAACAAAAATAATTTGCTTAACTGTCATTCCTAGTGTCATAATTTTGGTGGTGGGTGACAAAGGTGTATTTGATATTGATAAAAAGCAGCCAAACTAGGTAATGAATTGATACCACCGAAATCCAAAAAACTATATGAGCAGCAGTACGATGCGTTTAAGAAGTAGTGCCGCATAGAAAATAATGTGGAACAACCTACTGAAATTGCCTTGTTAGTAATTTCATCCTTCCGGGATTTTCGTCCAAATTTAATCCCGGCGGGACAAAAAGT